GGGAGGGAGAGAGGGAGGGAGAGAGGGGGAGAGAGAGGGAGAGAGAGATGGAGAGAGAGGGCAGGAGAAGGAGCGAAGAGAACAGGTCAAGTGACAAAATCTAGAGGAGAGAGGAAGAGAGGGGGAGGGAGAGGGAGAGAGGGAGAGAGGGAGAGGGGGAGAGGGAGAGAGGGAGAGAGGGAGAGAGGGAGGGAGAGAGGGAGAGAGAGGGAGAGAGGGAGAGAGGGAGAGAGGGAGAGAGGGAGAGAGGGAGAAGGAGAGGGAGAGAGACTTTCATGCGTGGTCGAGAATGGGAGCAGAGGAGAAAGGGAGACTAGATACAAAGAGCGTGCTCAGACTACGAGCTTCTTGACTGAACCTGGTCTTAAATGAGGTTAGATCGGCCGAAAATGCCGTGGTCTGAATATGTCCTATATGTTTACAGATCTGCAAGTCAAAAGGGAAAGAGTCGGATAATGAAGTAATAGGGGCGGAGATCCCACTCGCACGGATAAAGAAATCCCGATCGTCGATCTTCATTATCTATGGCCAATGGGCCTCGCTCCACTACTCGACATTTTAAATGTATCTGGACTGCTTTCTCGACCGAAGTCGTTCGGGCCGATCTAACATTTTCCATGTATCTAGACCATTACCATCTCCAGATTCATTTACAATGTTGTGCAGTGGAAAAATGGACCTGGTCTGTGAAAGAACCGACGGCAGCCTCTTTCTTCCTTCTCTTTTTCTTTTTCTTTTCCCTTTTCTCTTTCTTTTTCTTTTCCTTTTTCTTTTTCTTTTTCTTTCTATTTGTCAAAATTCAATCCCATATCCGTTTTTTTTCGGAAGTGGCCACGCCAGTTAGGTGGAAAAAAAAAAGAAAAAAAAAAAGAAAAAAAAAAAAGGAAGGGCCAGCTCCGCCCAGCCAGGCGGCTGCGCCAATACCGTGGGCGAGGTCCCAGTTGCCTGGCTGGGCATTTCCAGAAACAACACACGCTGATCGTCATTATCTACAGCCAGGGAAAAAAAGGGGGAGGGGGGGAGAACAAAAGGGGAAAAAAAAGGATCTGCGGCCAGAAAAATTGAAGTCTGGGCAGGTGGAACCTTGCCCTAACGGCTAGTATTTCTTATATAATAGTAATAATCCGTGCAATGGGGATCTGGGCCCCTCGGCGGGAGATCCCAATCGCGACCCGGAAATCCCGGTCAGATCACACATGAGCTCCATTTTCTCCCTTTTTTTTTCAGAAATTTGGGGCTCGGGGATGTTTGCGCTGTCGCAGAACCTGCGGAATTCGCCCTCGATCGAATGCGGAGAAAGAGGGAGGGAGGGAGGAGGGGGAGGAGGAGGAGGAGGCGGAG